AACTTACCTTTGCGGCAGGTCTTAAGGAGCTTTGCGGCTATTTCACGATCTAACCGTGGGAAACGCTTGTCCGCGATGAGTTCTTGCTCGGTGGAGGACATGCATGCTTGGGCCCACTGGTAAACTTCATCTCCGGGGGTCTTCTGGAGTCGACCGATGGCCATCAAAACTTGGTTGATGAAACCTCTAGCCTGTCCAGCGTTCTCCGGAGGGGATGGCAACACGAGATCCTTGAGGTCCTTGACGCGAACAACGGATTCCTCATGCGTGGCGTGATCGGTGACGGTCATGCCTACACTAGGATCGGCAGCTTGAGACGGGTCTGCATTGGGGAACTGGCCAGGGCCTCCCCCACCTCCCCCACCACCATTCATGGTGAGGTATGGGCAATCAGTGTCTTCATGGCTGCCGCCGCAAACTCGACATTGTGGGGTATCATCATCTCCATTGGAGTCTGATGATGTGTCGGAGCTTGCTGCCGATGGCGCTTGCGGGGATGACGAGTATAACCCTCCCAACATTGTGATTGGTACTGGTGGAACATGAGTGCCATTGCCAGCTTTCGGCGGAGGCGGCGCCCCAAAAAGGGGAATGGGAGGCACTGGAGGTGGTGCGGCCGGAGGCGGAGGTGGCGGAGCCACTTGATTAGCAACCAATTGGGAAAGCTGCTGAACCATTTCCGCTAAAGCCGTCACTTGCACTCTCACATCGGCTTGATCCCTTGAACCGTCTCTACCCAACCCGCTAGTCCTCGACGCGCCGGGGGCTGCGTCTCCAACAGAGGACGCTGCTCCTAGCACTGCCGAATGGCCTACGAGATGTTGACTTGTTGCACCCCCACCAGGGTCCCTTGAATCAGCTGGGGCATCGTGACCAAGTCCTGTACTTTGAACAGAACCACACGGAGGGTCGGGGATAGTACTTGTAAAAGCATTCCCTTGCGACGATGCGGCAACACCGGAGGCATCTTGTGAACTTGAAACCTGAGGTGCTCCAACCGGCTGATGGGTTCCTGGGGGAACTGTGCCTTGACTTGAGGCCTTAGCCGCGCTTGTTTCCGTAGCTGTTTCGGCTATTGATGCGGCTTTCGGCGGGGACTCTTGCATCGGAACAGGGGTCGCACGAGCTTGTTGGGTGAGCTGCGCAACAACACGTTCGAGATCACCAAGTCGTTGATGCATCACAGAATTTTCCTGAGACAATCCACGAATGGTATGCTCTTGACTGGCAATGGTTTGTTCCCTTTGTAGGATTGCCTGTTGAGCTTCTTGAACAATGCGTTGAACCTCTTGCTGAGCGTCCTGTTGAGTGGCATTAACAACCTGTCGTGCGTTCTCGACATGGCCTAAGGCTTCCTGTCGTGTCTGCTCAATGAGTTGCCTAGCCTGAGCCTCACTTTGTTGTGCTGTTTGAACAGCCTGCTGTGCTTGCGAAGCTAGCTGAGCGGCCTGAACCCTAACGTCTGAAACTTCTCTTACAGCCCTTTCCCTGATCCATCCGGCCTCTTGTCTCGCCTGATCGGCGGCCTGCTGTTGGTGCAAGGCGTGATTGGCTGCCTGAGCAGCGAGGTCGGATGCTCGATGAGCTTGCTGCACCGCAGCTCCAGCTATAAATGCCGCAGCGGGTACGTTAGTCATCGGGTCAGGTAATTGCGATCCCTGTGAAGGAAACTGAATGGCTGGGGAAGCTTCGGATGATGTCGGTTCTGACACGATCGGACCACTCGGGGGTGATGATGGTCGTGTTTGGGCTGCTCTTTGAGGTGTGGATGTGCGAACTGTGGACATAACTGCAGGAACCATGGCTAGGTCAGGGTCGTCCGGTTCGGAATCCCTATTTGGGGTTGACCTTGAACGGGGTTCTGATGGCGGTGACAAACCCGTTGAAGCCATGACACAGCAATGCAACTTTTGCACTCACACGAAGCTAGCTCCACGCGCTTTGAGCAGCGTGTCAAAAGGTGCTACGAGGAGATATCCCTGGATTGGCAGCTGTTTGCACCACGCTCAAGTGAGCCACTCAAGAAAATACGTTGCGAAACGCTCAAGTGAGCCACTCAAGAAAATGCGCCCTGCTGCTTTGCACCTGATGAATTCTGTATTTGTAATTGTACTTGTAGATTGATTGATCCGCACTGCCGCACTATGGTGCTTTATCGAGGGATGTTGCCACACTGTATTGAGAATTTGTCTGCAAATCGAAAGCTTGTAATTGCAAAAGCTGTACCGCGCAAAGCGACGGTTTTAACGGCTTGCAGCAATAGCTACCGAAGTACCCGGCTGGCGGGTAGCTGAGATGCAGATCGGTGGAGTTCCTCGAGGTATTGCGATGGAAGCAAGCCTCTCGCCGCCGGAATAAATTGTCTGTTCCGGGATTCAATGAACTCACCGAGGTTCTCAAGTGCGTTGCCAAAACCTCCCGGACCGAAGTGCGGATAATTGCGGAACGCCGCGATGCCTGTCTTTTGAGCTTCACGGACAATCGATGCTGTATCGTCAATAAGGGCGTGTACGCCCAGCCCTTGCAGGGCGTCTGCTTTGCCTCCCCTTCCCAACCGTTCGTGAACGATTTTTATCGCAGAAAAAGTGAGTCCAGATGTTGCCCGCGCGTGCTCCAGGGCGACCTGAAATTCGCGGCGGCGATACTCGCTTGCAGCCCTGCCCACGAAGGATAGCACTATAAAATTTATAGGTGCGTAGTCCGCTGCAAACTGAACGAGATGTCGGATCACTTCCGGGTTGAGGTGGGGTCCCTGCTGCCCAACGTCAAGAACTCCGTGCCAGTCAAGAGCAACAACAAGCTCCTTGGGCGGCACCGGCCTTCCAGGCGGAGGTGGCGGCGGCGGGGGCGCAGGCGGTGCCCTCCTTGGTGGCGAGCGGAATCGCGTGCCAGCTTCAGGAGTTGCAGCGCTAGCAGCAGCTGCTTGAACGACCTGCGGAGGTGGCGGCTTGACGATGTACCCGAATTGTGGCGGGCTTGAGCTCGATTTGCTTCTGGGTTCGGCCTTGTTCAAGCCTCGCGGAGGTGCCTTGTAACCGAATGCACTCTGAGTCCGAACCGGAGATCTGGCCCTTGGCGGTGACTTCCTCGGGATGTCTGCCTTTGCAGGCGCTGGAGAAACTGCCTTGGGGACCTCCTTGGGCACCGGTGGCTTGCTGCCGAAGATGACCTTGGGAGCGGCCTTTGGGGGCGGCGGTTGAACTGCCCCGATTCTTCGGCTGTGAAGCGCGATGGGCTCGGAGTGAGTCGGCGCCTCGTAAACGCGCCGAGGCACGTATGCTGACCTGCCCGTCCTGATGGACTCCAAGTTTTGCGGTGGGTCCTCGTCCGAGCTGTAGGCGTCGAGGCGGAAGGTTTCCGCAGGCGCCGGGCGGCGGTCAGGAGACCGTGAGCGTGAGCTCGTGGAGGACCTCCTTGGCGGGTCCCTCCACGTCTCGTCAGCGAGGAGGTAAGGATCGGCTTGGCGAAGCTGCCCAGACGTCCGTTGCGCTCGCCGACGAGGAGCCGCTTCACGTGGTTGTGATGCCTCCCGCACCAATACCCAGGTACCGTGTTCGTCAAACCTCGTCACAGGGTAAATGCTATTCTGTGGAGCCAAAACGATGGGCCGAGTGGCTAGGGAAGTTCTGGATGGCCTTCCCTCCCGCGCAAGCGCGGGTTCAACACTATGGGCCCGTGGTTCCACAGGGGCAGCAGCAGTTGGTCCTCGTCTCGGTGATGTCGATGGAGACCTCGACCTTCTTGGCGATGGGGACCTCGATCTTTGTGTTGATCGCTCCCTGCTGCTCTCCCGCCGCGTTTCCGCAGCTTTAGCGTATACCCCGCGAAGAGTTGACTTTGCGGCTTGTCTTTCCTCTGCAGATGGCCGAATGCGAGGCAAAGGAGTGCGCGAATCTTGCAACCAGGAGGAAGCTGATGGAGGCGTCGGAGGACGAAGCCAGTCCGCTGCACTGCTTGATGCTCCCGCCGCGCCTGAGGCTGCGGCTTGATCCTGAGATGGCGCACCCTGCGGCAATACCACTCCTGTGGTTTCAACCAATGCGAGACGCTGCTGATAAGCGTTGTCCGCGGCCTGGATCACGTCGAAGGCTTCTTGGTCAAAATTCCACAGGTGCCAACTATCCAGTGACTCACGCCAGGAGAAGAGCGCCTCGACCTGTTGCTTCGAGGCGTCCGCAAACCTGATCCACCGGAATCGTCTGTTCTGCCGCTTGTACTCGTCGACGACGATCTGTTGCAGAGTGTTGTACAATCGGGCACGCGGCCCTTTCCCACCGCGTGTGCCGCGGTGAGGGCCGACTTCCATGTGCGACCAACAGGTCGCAGTCACGGAAGGGTTCGTTTACCCGAAAAGCGTTACGGCTGATAACCACTCAAAGGAGAGGGAAACACAGTTTTGTCAACAACGGGGGAACCCGGGACCTTAAAAGGAACGAACCCCTCCGTGACTGCGACCTCTCCCTTAACCTTGGGGCTAGCGCGGTGCAACGCGCTGTTTTCAGCACTTGAGCCAAAGCAGTGATTGGATCATGCTTTGGCAACCACTTGAATGTACAACATGCAACTGACTACATGAGAACCTACCTCATGTACCTCTGGGCCATAAATGTCATCGTGATAATTGACTAGTAAACAATCAGAACGGCGGCCGCAACCGTTCTGCCATTCTCCCTGCCCCGGGTTTTGATCTCTCATAAGCGGGCCCGATTAGAAACATGTCCCGCCGACCTGCGGCCCACTTCCCCTTTTCCAGAATCTCGCTCTCTGCTTCCGAGGGGATGGGCCAACCCCGAACAACAATATTGTTCAAACAGCCATTGTTCAAGCAACATCTGGTTGGCTTCCGTTGCCAGCTCCCCCCTCCCCCAACAACAACTGCTTTTTCAACCGTACCACCAGAATCCCCCGCTTTTTCCACCATACGACCAAAATCCCCCGTGTCCAAAAAGTGGTTGCGACCCTTTGGCGCTGCTTTGGGCCGTCTGGTCAAAAAGCCTCTCCTCGGCCAAGCCGATGAGGAAAGCCCAGGAGCCGCTCCTCGCACTGCTCGAGAGAGCGAGGCAAGCGCCAGATGAGACATGGACAAAAAAATCCCAGCGTTTCCCCAAAAGCCAGTTCTCCGGGTTCTCCGGGTTTTGTCCATGTCTCATCTTGGGAATTTTCGGAAACGTTGACATGGAGTTTTCCCCACAAAATTCCCAACGAAGTGGGGCCAGTTCTCCGGGTGTTGGCAATTTTGGTCCCATGTCCTCTAGTCATGTTGGTGCGTCACAAGGCTTGAGTTGAACCCGCAGGTCCTCCAGATTTGAGAGCTTAGAATAAGGGCACCAACTTCTTGCTTTTTGTCGTCTATCTTAGTAGAAAAAACCCTCCCCACCAAAAAAAAGACGGTAGAAGGCCACTACTAGTTGTGCCAGCTTCTTTGAGTGCGTTGGCCTGCCAAAAAGGAAAAGCTCTCACCGCCGTTTGCTCCTCTCGCAGATATCCGTGGCGACCTCGCAGAAGGGCACCGACTTGTAAGACGACGGAAGCTCCACCTCGCACGCTGCTCTTTTCGCGCGGGGAGTGAGGTGACTTGCATGTTTTTTGGGTTCATAGGTGTTGGATCCTGTTTTGTTTGGTTCATAGGTTTATGAGGTGACTTGTTTTCCATGGTGGGTCTCCCAAAATGGCTTGTTTTGCTGTTCTTTTTTCCATAGCGGGTCTCCCAAAATGGTTGGATCCTGTTGGTCTCCCATCAAATACCCACTTAAAAAAGGGGGCAGCATGTTTTTGAGAAACTCTCATGTGACCAAGGTGTTTTTTTCCATGGGCGACTCTGTGTTGTGTAATCCTCACCTAGTTGTTCAGTGACCCTGGTAGAAAAGGGAACCCTTTGTTGGGTTGACTGTTGCCGGGGAAGCCCCATGGCAAGGGAGATGAGCGAGCTCATCTGTGCATAGCACAAACTCGAAGCAGCGTTCTTGCAAGTGGGTATGCCATGCCCAGTGGATCCATGTATTTGTGGCAGTCAGGGGAACCACCCTTTTCGAACTTCAAAGGAAAATGGCAACCATTTTCCAGCACGCGGATCCGTCCCAACTGCTCGCATCCTTCTTCAAGGTCGTCCAAAGAGCAGTTGCTCTGGACTCAAGCCTCAAAGAGGGTCATGCCCAGGCTGGTGGCGTAGTCTTCGGCCCAGATGTAGCCCTGGGTCAAAAGCGGAGATGCCACTCACGAGAGAAAAGTTTGAGAGCGGCAATTGGTGGACTTGGTACCCTCCTGTTTCTGGTTTTATAGGGAAACCGCCGGGAAAGTCACCATGAGCAGTCCCCTTTCAGAAAAGACAGCCCCCATGTGGAGAAGGGATGCCATTTCACCCAAATGGGCCGGAATTGCGCCGTCGATGTTCACCCAACCGCGCAGCGCACCCAGAGGTGAGGCGTTGAATACAGGTTGTTCTCGTGCTAGCATGGCCACCAACAATCAGATTAGACGGCTTCAGAGGGATGTTTCTTGTCTCATGGCTACACGTCTCAAAGGGTAAGGGTTACCAGCGCTTGCCGCTTGCCCTGACGATATCGAAATCTCAAGTGAAAAGAAAGCAACATACGGAGACCCGCTCGTGTCTTAAAGGGCAAAGGACTCTGAAATCCTCAGCCGTCCTTCCCTTTACTGTGAATGTAACATTTGGGCCCCAGCAACATCCTCTGTCAAGAAGCATTGCAAACACATCTGCCAAGTAAGTCAGTGCGTAAACATATGTGTAATACCTATGGATGTTGCAGGGCTGTTGTTTCTATTTCCCTATCCCCGACACTTCCAAAGAGCCTCAGTGTAGAGGGTTTCCCCAAATTGCCAAGCAAAACAAAGGGGGGGGATAGAACCACTACTGTGGATGGACGAAATCCTGCACCACCTAAGACACCCTGGAATGATGATTCCCTGTAAATACTGCTTTCCCTGGCGGTGCCGCCTACTTGGGCCGGCGCCTTCTTCGTGATTTCCGCGTTGGACATCTTCTTCGAGGTCTGGCGACAGCTCCAGGTGTCAAACACACGGCCCCGTTGACCCTGCAACGAAGCAGCCAAAGAAGGGGATATCCAAAGGGGGAGCTGCGACCATGGAAATGGGATGGCCAAAGAGGCGTGTGGTAGAAGCAGCCAGGCTTGGCGCATCTCCCTCTGCGCCCGACTTGTCTTGGCCCAGTGGTAACCTGGAGAATGCAGTTTTTGTTTTGCTAGTTCTTGGCAAGGCAGACAGACAAGGGAAAACAGATCCGAACTGATCAGATCTCACACAATCTGGACCCCGAGCTTGACTTTGTTTGCCCTCTCGGTCCAGGACACCATAAAAACTCTAGCGTCAGGTTCAGGAAGTTCGAACAGTTGCCGTGGGATTCTGTGGGGTCTTAACCAACTCGCTTGCGGGGATTGTGCCCCACGTACACATCTCTCTCTCTCTCTCTGTTGTGTATGTGTATCATATCATAATCAAATGTGTACAACAAGCATAAGAGTAGTAATCATATACGGTTGTAGTATGCGTATTCGCATTAAACAAATCGGAATTCATGCGTTCAGCGTGCAATGTTTCCTAACTCAGGAGCGGACCTTGAGCATGCTGGAGGCCAGGGTCAGGTACCCGTGCACCTGCCAACGTTCGATTGGGTTCATGTCAATGCCGCGCAATGGTGGGATGTTGTTCTGGAAGTCAGCCATGGGCAATACCATCTTAGGGTGACAGCGAGCTGGGACAAACCAATGCCAGCCAACCTGCGTACACATGAGAGGTCGCGGTCTACTGGGGCCAAACAGTGAAAACCCGCAGCGAGGATTGATTGGCAGCTCTGAGGTTGCTGGGATGAGTTTTCTGTTCTGACCGTATTCTGCCACCGCCGAACAGCAAATTCAGCTCAGTTGTAAATGCGCTACAGTACTCCAACTGTGAATGGATGGCCAAAACAAGAACTGAATTTTCTGAATCACACGAACACTCGGCACAAACAAACAACTTTAGAAATCACAGAGCCAGCATGAACAACCGCAACAAAGGCTAACCACAATGCTGGTCACACAACTTTCGACCACCCGTCTGAGACGCGCAAATCAGGGGGGGAACACCTCGACGTATGATCCGCGAAGCTTCTGCCTCGGCGGATTTGCCAAGGATGCCTTGGATGACATTGTCGAAGCAGACGATGTCTTGAGGTGGCTGCGCAGCGCACGGGGAGCCGCCAGACTTCACAGCCACCATTCCATCGTTCGGGTCCCACACTATGGCTTTGAAGGCAAACCAAACAGAAACCGCTGTTTTAAGGGGGGCCTTCCATATCACATTCCAGCTGTTCAAAGCACGATGAAAGTAAACATCTTGCTTCATGGGGAAGCCCATGGCGCTGCATTCTTTTTTGGCATCCAACATGACCTTCCTTCAGTTGGGGGTTTGAATTGGTGGGGATGTTCCTGGGGCGGATTTTTGATTTACCCTCCATAAGACCAACAGTCAAAGCCCCCAAACCACCAATCCAAACCATCCATTGGGGGTTTCCTGACTCGTCACCTTGCAGGCTGACATGTCCAATGCGTAGGCCACGGTGTTGTAGGCATCCTTATAATTCGAAAACCCCCAAGGTCCATGACTTCACAATCGTCTCTACCAGCCAAAAGAAAACAAGTTGACTGGGACAAATGGCCAGTCTGTGTCTGAACGGTTGAATATGGCTAGACCGACCCAGCAAAAGCACGCCCCACGCGCAGGAAGCGGCGCCCAGTGAGTATCTTGCGAAAAAAACATATGTTTTTGGAAATTGGTCAGCCAAATAGTGTAAAGATCCCATGGGTCAAAGTTGAGAAAACGGGATTGCTGCATGGGACATTGTGTTCGAGGGCGTTTTTAAGGATGGAAGGATGATGGGCCACGGCTGCCAGGAGTTTGGGACCTGTTGAACATTTCATCAGCGCAGGATCTTCATAAGTGAACTCATCTTCTCCCCGAACCGGTGATCGAGTTGGAATTTGCCATGGGCCTTTTGGCCATGATCAAGCGTAGTAACTAATCTTATCAGTTTAACAACTGGTACTTCCAATCGGAGACTTGCTCGTCACTTTTTGTTGCTAGGAAACGTCTTCTTGAGCTTGCTCAGCAGCTTTCACGTTCTGCGCTGGCATGGCATTTGTTCAGCAGCAGCGCGCCATGGGGCAACTGCTCGTCTTCCACCTTGGCATGCTGGCAGCATGCTGCTGGCACGCTGCTGGGGCTGTTGGCGTGCTTGGTGTAGCCGTGCTTGTTAGGCCCGCCCAGAACTGCACGTACAGGCAGGCTTTTGCCAGCAACCGCAGCTCCGCGCTGCGTTGAAAGTTCAGACCATGTTCTTAAGCGTTGTTCCAGGCATCATGTTGCCCGCCCTCCAGACCATCCTCGCGGAAGGTACTGTAGTAGTTTCCAACCGAGAACGCTGCTGTCCTGGCTTGTAAGCATCTCAACAGTATTTCTTGCTCCTGCAGCCGAGGCGTTGGCAAATGCGCTTTTGATGTCTGTCTGTTGGTCGTTGATCAGTGCTCTCATAGGGTCGAGCAGTTCTGAGGCCCATAACACCTTAGGGTCTCCGGTGGGGGCATCCATCAGAATTTCTTTGACGCGGCTGGCTTGTGAACTGTCGCCAACGCTTGCTCTTTGCAAGAAGAAGAAGAAGAAGAAGACGAAGAAGAAGAGACAGTGTGCGTGTGTGCGTGTGTGCGTGTGTGTGTGTGTGTGTGTGTGTGTGTTTCAATTTGCTATTTGGGAACCACATGCAGGCTTGCAGGCACAAAGCAAGGCTTGTCGGGAAAGCAAATGCAGCATTTGTGTATGTGTCATTTTCTTGCAGTTCTTTCTCACATAGCAGTTGGAACACGAAGCTCCGCAAAAGTTGTGTAAGCCACATTGATGGGTCCCATTCACAGCAACCTTGCACCATTTTACAACGCGTGAATCCCCCCCTTGTTGGTCTCAAAGGCAAGCCAAAAGGAAACCACCCAATTTTCGCCAAGCCGATTTTGAACACCCATTCATCGGGCCCGCTCTCAGCCAGTCAACCGACGACCGACAGCGTACCACTCTCACCGACAGCAGGCCCTCCACTGAATGAGCCTGCGGGCAACCGAGAACACAATGCAAATGAACCTATGCAACAAAAAGACACCTCGTTTGGGGGCTTCTAGAAATAGGAGTCGGCTTGAAATGGTTGGCCTTCTTGTGTTCTCCCTTTCAAGTGTGCATAATGTTGAGAAAAGCTCATTTATAGAGGAAACTCTTGTTTGGGGAAGACTCTTTTTCAGATCCCATGTTATATTTGGGAATGTGCTTCTCGACCTGATTGAAGTCGCCTCAGGGCCAAAACAAAGAAAACACATGCCCCTGAGCCACTGGACAATATTTCACCAAACTTTTTCTTGGCGGCCCTCAAAGGGGGATCGAGCAAACGGGGTGTTTTGCCAGGCCATTTCGCGCAGTTTTGCGTTTGGCTGGGCACACACCTCTCGCGCATCCGGTTTCTCGGGCTGGTTCGTTTCAGAACGAAACTCCCTGAAATCCAAACCCCTTAGTGGTCTGGGACCCGTGTGGTGTATGTGTGCGGTGCTGGTCGGCTGATTCAAACTTGCTGCCCGAAAGCAAAGGAGAAATCGCAAATCGCACCACTCTGGGCGACTGCAGGCCTTCAGTATCATGCAAACCAGTCGGATGTAGGACGTATGCCTGCGCGCAACAAAAAAAACACACTGCCCCAAAAGGTCGCCCCAAACCCATGGAAGAGGGGCCACACCTATTTGGGTGTGTCCTTTTTAAGGTTGGATTCCCCCAAAATAGTGGATGTCCTCTTGGTGTCCTTTTAAAAACACCAAAACATCGGATTCTCAAAAAACGACACACCCATTTCTGTCTGGGACTATTGCTAACCTTCGTCCCGGGCTTTCATTGTGGCTCACCTGCTCACTGGGGCACTGGAGACCAAACATGAGTCACCCACATGTACGTTTATGCCCGCATGCTTCTCTCGGTACGCCCAGTTAAATCCCAGACTCCTGATCCCAAAATCCTAATCTCCTGTCGGGTGCCTTGAGCCAACTTCTCCGGGCTCCTTAACCACATTGCCAGTGTGACGAGCTTGATCCAGTCAGAAGGGATCGAGCATTCCAGCCCGGATTCAGCATATTAGCCCGACCTCCCTAACTACAAGGAGCCACGCATGCGGTGGCTTGCATGGGTGTGCACTGGTTTGCCTGTCGATCTAAAGCAAATCCCGGCCTGATGAGTGCGTGCTTTCCTTGGGGGGCAACAAATATGAACTGCCCATCCCCTTTTGGGTTCTTGTGACATTAAAGATTGGGGGCTCTAAAGAGCACACTGGGGAAATACATAGCACACCAAACAAAGGAGGCAAATGCCTGCCAAACCCGACAGCAATGCTTCCTCAGGGACTTAGCCTCTTCTCCCACCACTTAGATGCACTCCCAAAGACAGTCACTCCAATTGCAACGGCAACTGTTGACGCATTCCTTGGGCAGCAAATGTTGCCAGCAGCGTTCGTTCACTGCAAGCCTTGCAGGGAGTGAGCTCCTTAGGCTCTGAGTTCGCGAGCACAGCGCACACCGCTAAACAAAAATAATCATGGAGCAAGGTCAAGCTACAAGCAATCCAACAGCATAGGTGTCCTTTTGGAAACATAGATTGCGCATAAAACCCGTCTATACCAGTGCCATCAATTTCTATCCGAACTAACCTAAAAAAGCCACCTATGTCCAACGGTGGCAAGAAGGCTCTACCATTCCATGGAGAATCCGATATGGGATTCCGATGAGCTATGGTTCAGAGAGGCTCTGAGCTGGTGGGTTACATCAACAACCTGCAAACATGTGCGCACGGGCGGGCTCGCATCCCGCTCCCTCCCCGGCCTCTTCATGGTCAGGGCACGCATGATGTTGCCCACGTCCTCCCGTGAGGCGCTCTTCTACAGTGTTCACACTTTTGTTGCCGCACACATGCTCACGAACCAGCGACTATTCAATAAGCTATCTGCCATGATGCTTCGACCGGGTAACCCCCGATCTTTGCAATTTCGGGCATCAATATACGTACTGATATCTTAAGCCATCACCGACTGGCATATTATATCCACCTTCCAGGAGATAAGACCTTGGTGAACATGACATGATCCTCAGCGGAAGGCTTCTTGGGCCAATAATCCGGGCTAAGTTGGCTAAGCTGTTTGCGCCAGTCACACCACTACATTGTTCACATCTAGGCAAACTCGGGCAAACTGGGTAGAAACCTTGAAAACATCCACTTCTGGGGGTTGATTCCCCATTCCTTGCAAATTTCACTCAGCACTCTTTGCGAAAAAATGGTGTTGCCCTTATTTGGGTTGGTTTAGGCTTTCTGGAAAGAAGAAGCCCTGAAACCATGGCTCGAAAGAATGGGGATGCTACACCTAGACTGCTGGAACGGCAAGACAGCCAGCGCTTGGTGTCCTTGGCCAACTCGAGTGGGCCATATTCATCAAAACGATGGATCCGTTCCGGTTTGTTGGGCTGATTTTTTTTGCGACACACCTTCCCGAACCTGAAACTTACCCTCAGCCCCAGAATTGTAGATTGAAATGCCGCTCTTTCGTGTGCACCAGGCTGTGCTCAGTTGCCCAAAGGACCTGGGACTAAAAGGTTAACCTTTTGGGGCAATGACTAAATATGGACCAAAACAGGAAAACCAAAGGTCAAAAGGTTGGCTTTGGGCAACTGAGTGTGCCAGGGCTAGGCCAAAAAAAAACACCCTTTCCAGGTTTGTGGCCTTCGACAAAACACTTCCCCAAACGGATCCACGAAAAAACCAAAGTGACTTTCTCAAATCTACCCTCGAAATGTTGGTTTGAGAACACACAATTACCCAAACACACAACTTGGAGAACCCCCGACTCGCAAGCACTCTAAGGAGAAAAAACAAAAACAAAACACGCAAAGTACCCACTTCAAACATCCCGAGGTTTCATTTTTACACATGTGCATGTCAACCAAACTGCGCACGCCGTCTCAAAAAAAGGTCCTCCCGCTCCGGGTCTGAGCCATACATGTTGGGCAGCAAGAAGGCCGCCAAGCATGACTGGGCCGAACAGACAACTGGCCGTGAATTTTAATAGGGAACCACCTCAAAAGTGATTGGTGGACATGAATCCCCACCTAAATGATAGTCCACCAAAGGGCCCCTCATTAAAATTCATACCCAACTGCTTCTGGACGATGGGAACAAAAGGTGCGAGATGATGCAGTTGCAGTTGCAGTTTTGGGACACAAACCGCCACAATGGGCTTGTTCAGACACTTACCTTGCTGGGCGGGCAATTAACGGTGCGATACAAGCTTGTGTTTTCAGGGGCAAGTTTTGTTCAGGAAACGCAACCATTCATTTGGACCCCCCCCGAAGTGCACAAACTGCCTTCGGCAAGATTGGCACATTGTTTTGCAGGTGCAGAGGAACTACGTACGGCCATCCTAGGCCCAGAAATCCTGCAAGATTCAGCATCACACCTCAAAACAAGGGAATGCGATAGGTCTCGCAACAAACGCATTGACCATGCAATGATTGTTTCGCTTGCAAAACAAAAGCGCGCTGGTCTCAACGCAAGACTATGCATTCGTTGAGACGTCACCGGCAGTTGGGGTTTGCAGGCTTTGACGTTGGCTCAGGTGATGGACTTCATATAAGTCACAGTCAGAATGGCTCCGATTCATGCATCTATCTGTGTCATCAGCCTTGAAAACCACAAGACAAGATCATGAAGCCCATCGCATGAGTCGGATGAGCATCGTGCGTTTTAAGAGTACCCTGTTCACTGTGTGAAAGGGAAACACAATCCTGTGGAGTTGGCAGGATTTGTGCTTTTCGTTGGAGTCGAAACCGAATCTTGTTCTCGCGGTGGTTAAATCCCTCTGACTTCTCTGCTTCAGGACAAGTGCCGCCCCAAAGTCACACCTTTGAGTCTGGCCCACATTCAGTGAACCTTTGCAACATCTGTTCTTGTTTACAACAAATCATGGCCTTTTTTTAAGTGAATCCAACTTGCAACTGCATAGAAACCAACAGCTTACTTTTCAAGATCACCCCCAAATCCAAGCAAACCACTCAATAAACCCATCAGGGAAAACCCAAAAACCGAGAACAGCACAAAAAAAAACAGCACCACAACAAACAAACCCCTGGGTTTGGGCTCGACCCGGCCTTCGACCCCAAAAAAAATTCCTCCAACCCCACGAGGCCTCGGACCCGCCTGGTAGCGAACACGATCCAGGTCCTCGGCCTTCAGAGCCGAACCTTCCACCAGCCAGACCTCGCCGGCCCGCGCCGACGCCCGCGCCGACGCCGACGAATGCCGAGGATCAGGGAATTCCGTTTGGGGGGGGGATCTCGAAAAGGAGCCGAAAGGAAATCTAGGAGGTGTAGGGAAGCCGAAGCCTGGAGAATCCTGAAAAGCCCGAAAGGGCCTCTCATGCTAACCAACCCGCTTTGTACCTCCCTTCTTGGGGATTTCAGAACGAGCCGACCGTTTTGGGGAGGTAACTGAGGTAACTATGGGTTGGTTTCAAAGAGAACCCAATGCGGGTGACATTGGTGATCAAACTTCCAAGTGTTATAAGTTGAATAAGTCCACCGGGACCATTAGGCAGGGTGACTATATGGGGTTTCGGGGAACGCAAGGGGGGTTACGGTGACTATGGTTTTGGTGGCAAATCAGGGCATGCACATCTAGCCCTAACCAGGCTTAATTCCCAAAAAAAGTGGACAGGCTTTGAGGGTCACAATCTTCCCTATTTGCAGGATATCGGGGTTCTCTTGGGGAAATGGCCCCAGAATATATGGCGGAACTATGCTTTCATGGCTTCTTTTCTTTTCACCCCCTTTTGGTGCCTTCAAACGAGAGAAGGATTCAAGAGAGCCTGGCATGCGAGCGAAGATGCCCGTAGATATGATCTTCCAGTTCCGAACTCAAAATTGTCCGGCTGCAAGGCCCTGGGCCTCAGACATGACGCCTGACTCCAGGAGAAAACCCATGGCTATGGTCCGTTGGATGCCCATTTGGCTTCGGCTGACCCACCGTGGCAACCAGAACCCAAAGCATGCACAGACCCAGCATGCAAGGCCGGACGTCTGAGACTTGGCACAGTTCAGCACGCTCCTCTTTTCAATTGCAGATTGGTTCGGGGGTGCTGATTTGGGGGGGGGCGCCGGAGCAGCCAATGGCCAGCGAGCCGCTCCGCGCGTGCGGGGTGCGCCATGGTGCGCTCCGCGTCGCAGGTCTCGCGGAGCGCCGGAACGACGCTTCAACGACGCGTGTTCGGCCAGCGGCGTCTGGTCCTTGCCGGGTAGCGATGCTGAGACCTCAGCCCAGAGAACTCAAGCCGGCGAGCTCGTAGATACAAATGGCTGCAGAGTGGGCGATGTCCATGGTGCCCTGCAAGCGGCAAGGCACTTTGACAGCCGACACCTCCGGAAGTTCTGGGCCACTGGCCGCTTCTCGTGCGCCCACCAGCAGTGCCCATGGCCCTTTGGCAGTCTCGACATTTTCAGAGGCATCGTCGTCGCTCGCCATGAAGAGGTCCACTCCACCTTGGGCAAGCTGTGCCACCACCTCTGGCAAGGATGATGCCAGATGAAAGTCCATATGATATCCCCAGCCCACGGACACACGGAAGGCGCGCGCGTCCAGAAAAGCCCAGGCTCTTTCAGTAAGCACCACCGAATCCACGCCGAAGTGATAGGCGCTGCGCAAGATCTGCCCCAGGCTATGGCTGGAGCCCACGTCATCGATGACCAGGTAGGGAGGCTTCATCTGGGAGAGTTTCCTCGGATGCGTCGCCAAGGGAAGCTAACGTGAAGAGTGCTGCTGGCAAAAAAAGGGGAAATGAAAGGACATTTCAAAAACTACGCACTACGACAGTCCAAGGAATGTCACAGACTCGTTTGCCAAAAAGCCAAGTGTCTTGGACACTGGGAATGCCACGGCAAACCTGCAAAAGTTCTTGCGTGCACCTTTGATTGCGAGGCCGGCATCAATCAAGTTCCCCTTCGCCTGAAATAGCAGCGAGGTGCATCTCTCAGAAAGCTGCACCTCAGACACTGGCCGAGTGACGGACACGGGGACCAGGGCTTCACTGGGTCGAGTTCTCAAATTTCCCCCAGAGGGAGGCTGTTCCCTTTCAAGTACAATTTGGAGGGTTATTCTCAGGATCTTAGTTAAATGGATCCAGATTCAGGAATGCAACCAGAACATGGTGCTTTGATAGGCAGCCCCACTTGGGTCGGGCAGCAAAACGCACAGCCTGGAGGAAGCTTCAAGAGTAGCAAGGTAGGTGCAGAAGTCTGCAGGTCAGTCGCAGCATGCTAAACCAGCGGTGGCATTGACTCTTACGCCACTCGAGAAATGCAGGAACCCTCTCTCCTCTCCGCGAATAAAATGGCCGAGATGTTCCATGGTCATGGCGGGCAAAATTCACGCAACTCACGTTGCAGGGACGCTTTTGAGGTGTTCTCCAAGTTACTTCTGGGGACCACCCTTTACCCACAATTGGCTCAAAGGGAACTCCAAAGGGCGCCAACAAAAACGGTGAGTTTGAGACTGGCTTGTCCTCAAATACCCAGCCAAAAGTTCAACTTTTAGTGAGTTAAATGGGAACCCCCACTACACTCTAAAACCTAAGAACCTAAGAAAATGGCTGGGAACCGCCAAGGCGAAACCAGACATGCCAGCGATTTGCTGCCGATTCGCCTCCTCTTGACTGGCACTTGAAGGCAGCAGCACGCTACCCACCAGCACATCCTTTCCCAGCTCCTGCGCCTGCTGCAATCGCTCCTCGCTCCAGCCAACGGGGTGGGGAGAAAGGGGCAAGAGTCCCTGACTTAGAGATCCTTCGGTATGTTAGAAGTTCCTGTTTAGACCACAGCCATGAAAAGAACCAACTCAAAAACAAACACATTCCCCTCAAACATGGTTGGTGGACACGAATTCCCACAGAATTCTGATGTCCACCTGTCCGGGTCCCCCAATCATTTGTTGGTTTGTCTTTAATAGGCCCTCAAAGTTGTTTCCCCAGACCACCCGAAAAACAGGACCAACTGCGAAACTCACACGCCTATAAGCCAGTGCCATGGTATTTGGTATGTACATTTCTATTTGGCATTTTTACGGTTTTGTGTTTGCAGCCTTTGCGTGGGGTTTCTTCAGTTTTTGAATAATTATTCCACACGCCTGAAAGGCACATTGCAGTGGCAAACACGGAGGCAAAAAATCGTTTTGGGGGAAACATGAAGCAGGCTCACTCAGGAAGCCAAAGAATTGAGTCCCGAGGGGCGTTTCATCCACATGAAGGAAACGTGCTAAAAAGAAGACGAATAATATTAATAAGAAACAATCATGTAAAGAAAATGAAAAAATAAACATGCCACTGATTGGAAGGTCTAGGCATCAAGTTTTTTTCCGGCTTGTCCTTGCCTGTTTCCAGGACACGTCTCCCGGGCCAACCATTCACATTCAGCCACCATGACACACTAACTGAAATTGAGGGCTAAACTCACTCGACTCGGATTTTTGCAAGTTGAGCACAAGCTCGTTTTTCTTTCTGTGGCTAAATGCAATCCTCTCAGTGACATTTTGCAGTACCCCACAGCGCTGGCTTTGTGAGATGTTCTGTCATTAGTTTACTAACAGAACACATTTCGTTTCAAAGCAAACATGTCCCATTGCAGGTTTTGATGCTCGCCGTGCTTACTCCTTATGCACAAGGTTGGTCAGGGGGTCCTTGCATATTTTCCGTTTTCAATGTTGATGTGAGTATGTGTGTTCGCTCTCTTCATTACTTATTTCGGTGGATGCGTCGTTGGCGTAATATCGCGGGCCAGCTTGGTGCACCAACCCAGAAGTAGCTGACCAGCTCAGTGCGCCAGAAACTGACTACAAATGATCAGAACCAGCAAAAATAATAGATGCCAACAGTGGAGATCGCTATGTAGTAGTTTTAAACAAGGTTCTTCGTTCCGGTTGGGGCCGAGTGGTGCAGCGAGTGTCCCGTGACTCATCGCGGTGGCCATCCTGAAGGCCCATTGAGCTCCCCCCAAAAAACAATAAGCGCTGCTGTGGAAGCGCTCGCTGCCGGAAGCGCTCGCTGCCGGAGACGCCTCCTGGAGCATGACCCACACCTTCAAGGCGCGGAGGGGCCCGAACCTCATTCTATCAGATCCTTTTCAAGCTACATTGCTGGCAAGACTGTGTTGCTGCTAGCCAGTGGAGCCTACAGTTAATCTGTGTCACTGGGGGGGCTAACGCTTTTGCAACCAACTGCCGCGAAGCTCTCATTGAGGGAAGTGAAGTTCAATTGAAGCCCCGATCCTTACTTCTGACAACAATCTGTGATTTCAGACGCAACTCTTTTTGTGACAGGCCCTTACGTTCTTGACCAAGCCTAATCCCTTCCCCCTTTAAGTTTTTTTAATCGAGCGATGCATCGAACCATGGTCATCAGCAAATTTGCGTAAGCTCTACCATCGTCATCTTCAGGCCCCCCCCGGATCCTGGCGACCATGTCGAAGGAACCACTCTTGACGCGGGTGGCAGAGTCTTCCTCGTAGGTCAGGTCAAGAAGTCAAGTCTGCACTGGTGTGCGGCAATAGTAGTAGAAAACTCAACAATTCGGAAGGCTAAGGTTCAGAAGGTTTGGGCAATTTAGATGTAGGGGGGGGCATCAGTGGCACGCAGCGTCAGCTTTTGAAGTCTTGCCGAAAGTCGGGCTCTGCAAATCTAGCCCGCGTCGGAATTGAACTCTGGGCATTGATTGTCCACCTCGTCGGACCAATAATTGAAAATGTCATCCAGCCGACAAACGGCTTCTTGCACATGAACAGTCCCACGAGTCAAAGCATTGCGAGGGGCATCAAGCTCTTTGAGGAAGCATTCACAAAAGTGTCTGGCGTCAAGGGAAAGTCTGGACTTCGTGGCCTTCATCTCGCAACCCTTCTTGTGGTCCTCATGCTCTTCATCGCCTTCATTGATGTCGCCATTGCTGCTTGATGTCGATAGTGACGCTGATGCTTTCAAGCGCTGATGCTATCAAGAGCTGATGCGGTCAAGCGCTGATGCTGTCACGGGCGCGCGTGAAATGTGGGGAAATGACGCTGTGCGAATGTGAGTGCGATGGTCATGATTTCATCCTAGCGGGGGCGGATGCTGTTCAATGACAGGTCTCTCTCCAAGGGCGGCGCATCAGACAGCTGAGCGCGCATCAAACAGCTGAGCGCGGGTCCCAAGAAGACGTGGCCTGACCGCTGGAGCTACGCTCATCCGCTCCCAAACGTGTACTATATAGGTGTAGGGCTTTAAGGTTTCAATGTTTTAGGGTTCAGGTTCAGGTCTTTGCCAGCCACCATTACAGAACAAGGGACAGTGAACGACAAGTATAAGAATACTACTTGTCTGTCACTTTCGCTCAGAGAAACTCGCACCGCGGTTGAACAACAACTGCAACAAAATCTTAAGAGACTCTATAGAAGAGCTCACACTATCATCCCAAACAGGAGGCGTGTAAAAACGGCCTGAATATGCCCGAATGCGCCTTTGAAGAAGATCGGAAAACGGAAGAAGATGGGCTGATGGCTTGCGCTGCACATTGCGGCTGCTATCTACAGAAGAAGCAGGCAGCAGGCCGCTTCAGCCCCCAGTCGGGGGCCCGTTTCAAACCAGTTAAAAAGCTCGATTTTGGGCCCGCTTCAAGGTGGGAAGGATTAGGCTTGGTCAAGAATCTTTGGACCTGTCACAAAGTCAGTAGTAAAGCATGAAACTTCAATTGGACTTCACTTCCTTCAAGGAGAGCTTCGCGGCAGTTGTTGCAAAGCGTTAGCCCCACAGTGACACAGATTACTGTAGGCTCCACTGGCTAGCAGCAACACAGTCTTGCCAGCAATGTAGCTTGAAAAGGATCTGATAGAATGAGGTTCGGACCCCTCCGCGCCTTGAAGGTGTGGGTCATGCTCCAGGAGGCGTCTCCGGCAGCGAGCGCTTCCGGCAGCGAGCGCTTCCACAGCAGCGCTTATTGTTTTTTGGGGGGGGCTCAATGGGCCTTCAAGATGGCCACCGCGATGAGTCACGGGACACTCGCTGCACCACTCGGCCCCAACCGGAACGAAGAACCTTGTTTAAAACTACCACATAGCGATCTCCACTGTTGGCATCTATTATTTTTCGGGTTCTGATCATTTGTAGTCAGTTTCTGGCGCACTGAGCTGGTCAGCTACTTCTGGGTCGGTGCACCAAGCTGGCCCGCTATATTACGCCAACTCAGCGAAATAAGTGATGAAGAGAGCGAACACACATACTCACATCAACATTGAAAACGGAAAATATGCAAGGACCCCCTGACCAACCTTGTGCATAAGGAGTAAGCACGGCGAGCATCAAAACCTGCAATGGGACATGTTTGCTTTGAAACAAAAATTGTTCTGTTAGTAAACTAATGACAGAACATCTCACAAAGCCAGCGCTGTGGGGTACTGCAAAATGTCACTGAGAGGATTGCCTTTAGCCACAGAAAAAAACGAGCTTGTGCTCAACTTGCAAAAATCCGAGTCGAGTGAGTTTAGCGCTCAAATCTCAGTGTGTGTGTGTCATGGTGGCTGAATGTGAATGGTTGGCCCGGGAGACGTGTCCTGGAAACAATAGAGGACAAGCCTGAAAAAAGCTTTATGCCTAGAACTTCCAATCAGTGGCATGCATTTTTTCATTTTCTTTACATAGTTGGTTCTTATTGATATCATTCCTCTTCTTTTTTGTACGTTTCCTTCATGTGGATGAAACGCCCCTGGGGACTCATTTCTTTGGCTTCCTGAGTGAGCCTGTTTCATGTTTCCCCAATTTCTATATTTTTTTGGCCTCCGTGTTTGCCACTGCAATGTGCCTTTCAGGCGTGTGGAATAATTATTCAAAAACTGAAGAAACCCCATGCAAAGGCTGCAAACACAAAACCGCGAAAATGCCAAATACACATAAAAAAGGCCAAATACCATGGCACTGGCTTCTAGGCGTGTGAGATTCGCAGTTGGTCCTGTTTTTCGGGTGGTCTGGGGAATGACTTTGGTCTGTGAACATACCAACTCCCACGGCGCTGGCTTCTGTTTGTGAGTGTGTGTCTTTTTACGGTCGGAGCCCCAGAAAGGGGGAGGGTATACCATGCCGAGCCTCAAAACAAGCCACCAAAATGGATGCCGGTCCTTTTTTTCCGTTTCAGGTCCCCAAAAGAAGCAGTGAACAAGAAGGGTGCCAACTCTAAAAGACAGCGCGGGGTCACTTCTTCGAATCACAAGATGACCAACTTACTGGTAACTCCCAGTGAAACAGCCACTTTGCCACTCTTGGAGGTTCCCTTTCAAAGGAAATGGTGCGAAAACCCTGATAGGTCCGCGTGTTTGAGTTGCCACCCTTCTTGCGCGAGTCAAGCAAAAAGGGCCCAAACAAAAGCCGACCCGCGAAATGGGGGGGCGGTCCCTCACCACTTTTGGGTGCTGAGGTTTCCGCTTGTTCCATGGCTTCCAAAGCCCCAGACATGCGATGGTCCAAGGCTCCAGGCACGCCCAGCTGTAGTGCACGTCGCAGGCGCAAGGCGCCGAGCCGGCGGCGCCGGCCACGCGCCGGGCCTCGCAGAAGTCCACCGCCACATGCACCGGACATGGGCGGCTCGTGTTTGTTTGGGGTACCTGGACATTCAAACGATCCTGGGAAAAATGGTTCTTGCCCCGAAAAGTATGGGGGGGGTGCCCCTATTTTTGTTTAATTACGGGCAGTTTCAGGATGTAGGTCGCCCTTTTCGGTGTTGCAGGGACACCCAAAAACAAATCCACAAGCTCGGGGGCGGGGGGGGGGTCCTGAACCACCAAAGAGACCAGGTGCCGACGACTCCAAAGGACTGGTTCCCGGGCGAAGTCCAGCACCACAACGGTTTGGAGGGACAGAGGTCGAAAAAACAATGGACAAAAACATATTTCGTTGCGAACAACAGTTGTTTCAACCAGTATTTTAACAACATGCAAACAACACTTGTTTCAACCAGTACCAAAACCCAACTGCTTTTTGGTTTCCGTTGGGATTTCGGGCATGGTTGACAAAGCAGGGGTGCTGGGGCGTGGAGAAGAAACTGAAGTTGCAAGCACCTTTCCTTTCACTGGGCTGTTCCCATATCCCCTGCTAAAAGTCTAACCTTTTAGTGGTTTAGTGGAAACTACCACTAAACCACTCAAAAAAAACAAAAAACTAGGAGCCTAAGGAACCGGATGCCTGGGAACCACCAAGTTCAAACAGATTGATTCAAACACAGGCGAGTTGTATTCAAAGCCGATAGGTGCAAAAATATGGCGGATCCCCAAAATTCCATGTAAAGAGTTGAGGCGGATATCCGCACCTAGTTGGGAGTGTTGAGTTTAGGCGGATATCCGTACCTAGTTGGGAGTGTTCCTAAGCTTCACTTGCCCGAATGGGTTTTTGATTTGTGGCTCAGGTTTTTCTTCCCGAAGTCCGTCAACGTGAGCGGTTTCCGGCGCCAGTTAACTCCAGCAGGCCTGCTGCTTGAGCTCTGCCCAGACCTCCTCAGGGCGACTTTTTTCGCGGAATCGGACCCCGTAAAGGGCGAAGCTCAGCGTCCCTTACACCACAAGGAAGAGGAACCCTCCCACCCTTTTTTCACATAGAACCACCTGACCGGGACACCCCCCCGTCAGGTTCCATGTTAATTGGATGGTATTACCCACAACCCAGCAAAACCGCCTCCTTTTGGTGTTCCAATAATGGTCCTTTTGTTGCCAAGCTTGCAGCCAAGCGGCTTGGTGGCATCTCTAGTTTAAAGCAAGGCATTCGCATCTTATTGGACCCCCCAACACAAACAACAACAACAGACAAACGGTGTTAACAAGAGTCATTCAAACAAGCGTAAACCAGGGCTCCGTGTATTCCCCGCCCCTTAAGCACCACCCTTCAAAAACAGAGCTCCTTCGCGGATCCGCCTTCACCTAAACCAGTTGGCCAAATCCCGTACCCCCAGTGAACATCCCAATCCCCACTAAAATAGACTAAAATGGGTGGTGAATTCACCTACCAACCAAAATGGGATCCCATTAGGTTTGACCCATAGTCATTTGGCCCCCGCGCTCCTCACCCTTCTGACGGTACACGTCCAGCCGCGGGTCCTCAGCGTGCTCGGCCACAAAGATCAGCTCAGCGCCGGCGCCAGCCAGAGTCCTGGGGTCAAAAAGAAACCGCAACCAAGCAGCGGCCCCTTACTTTGAGACACACCCTTCTAAGCCGAAGCAAACTTATACACACACACACACATCTGTGTGCGATTGTGGTGTGTGTGTGTGTGTGCGCGCTTGTGTGCGTGTGCGCCTGTGTCCGTGTGCGCTTGTGTGCGTGCCGGGTGTGCGTGAATTTACTTTGATTGTTTGTTTGTTTGCTTGCTTGGTTGCTTGCTTGCTTGTTCGTTTGTTTGCTTGCTTGTTTGTCTGCTTGCTTGTTTGCTGGCTTGTTTGCTTGCTCGTTTGTTTGTTTGTCTGTTTGTCTGCTTGATTGCTTGCTTGCTTGCTTGATTGTTTGTTTGTTTGATTGTCTGTTTGTTTGTTTGTTTGTCTGCTTGCTTGTCTGCTTGCTTGTTTGTTTGCTTGTTTGCTTGCTTGCTTGTTGTGTTGCATGTTTTTGTTGCTTGTGTGTTTGCTTGTTTGCTTGGTTGCTTGCTTGCTTGTTTGCTTGCTTGTTTTTCTGCTTGCTTGTTTGCTTGCTTGTTTGCTTGCTCGTTTGCTTGTTTGTCTGTTTGTCTGCTTGCTTGCTTGCTTGCTTGCTTGCTTGTTTGTTTGTTTGTTTGTCTGCTTGCTTGTCTGCTTGCTTGTTTGTTTGCTTGTTTGCTTGCTTGCTTGTTGTTTTGCATGATTTTGTTGCTTGTTTGTTTGCTTATTTGCTTGGTTGCTTGCTTGTTTGTTTTTGTTTGTTTCTATCTTTGTTTGTTTCCGTATTTGTTTGTTTCTGTCTTTGCTTCTTTGTTTCTTTGTCTGTTTGTTTGTTTGTTTGTTTGCGTGGTTGTGTCTGTGTGTTTGTGTGTGTTTGTATGCGCGTATGTGTGTTTGTGAGTGTGTTTGTGTTTGTTTGTGAGTGTGCTTCTGTTTGTGTCTGTGTGTGTATGTTTGTGTTTGTGTTTGTGTTTGTGTGTGTGTGTTTGTGATTGTGTTTGTTTGTGTCGGGAACGTATTGGCTGCCCCATTCCCAAATGGGAGGAGTACCCGCGTATGGGATTGCTCCGAGATCATCGGCAAGCAACAGATGCTCCGAGGACTTCCTACACTTGTGGTTTGGTCCTGGAACCCGTTTTCACGCAAAATTCAAACTCCCTGTGTCGCCACTCAGCCTTCCGGCCTGCGCGCCGGCCTGCGCGCCAGCCAAAAGCCCCCAATGCTTGCGGCCCATGCGCCCAACGCCGGCGGTCTGACTCCGCCCAAGCGGGCCGCCCGACATGGTGCCGCCGGCGGCGCAGTCGCAGCCGACGCCGGACGCACAGACACGGCGAACGTGGCCATACGTGGCTGCGGAAGTTGGGCACCGGGAGCATGTGGGTGGCTCGTCTTTCTTCTGGTTGGACCCCCCAAAATGACACAACGGTGTGCCTTTTGCTGTCCCTTTGCAACAAAAGAAGGGAAGAAGGATAGGGAGCATGTATCAATATGCTCCGTTGGGCTGATGAAGAGTGATCCTGTCCCAAAGGCCATCTTGCAGCCCTCTAAATCTCGTGTCTGCGCGCATCAACAGTACGGGTGCTGAGTGAATCCCAGTTGAGCATGATCTAGTCTGAACTTGGCTTACCCCGATAGTGGGTAACCCTTTGCCATTGTCCTTTGGGCTTTCAGTATAAAGGGCGGTTCCCATGGTTGCCGTTGCCTACACGAGCGTGGCTTTTTCAGTGAACCCCCAAACTGGTGGTGTTTCTGTTGTAAACCAACCCCAAAAAGGGAACTTTAAACAAACACACATATGTCTTTATATATGTGACCTTCCATCCACTTCAACCCGACCAACCAATGACCACCCCCAACAAGGGTACCCTCAAAAAAAAGTATGCCGTCGCTCAGTAGGCAATGAGGGAATGAACCCAGGCTTTGGTTTTCTTAAAGGAAACCACTAGTTTGGTTTAAATCGGGGTGATTCCATTTCTCATTCCCTGCATCTCTCGCACCAGCAAGAAAAGACACACCTGTACAAAATCAAATGGACTCGCTTCGGCGAACGGAGGCGGACACCGCACCTTCTGGGAGATGCGCAGGTCTTCAGCCCCACCGGTGCCTCAAATGGGCCGCAAGCCTGGTCCCATAGTACGCAAAAAGAGGTTGCACGGTTCCCTATATTTCCCCTGTATGCATGCTCTTCCATTTGCTTCAGCGCCGTGGAACAAATGCGGAAACATGGCCACTAGTGATAAATTCCCCCCCCCCCCAAAAAAAAAAAGGGACAGTAACAAAATTCTATTCCTAAGCAAATGGAGGCGGTATACCTGACCCTCAAACTTCCTTTGAAAATTGGCTACCGCCCCGGATTCATGGGGTGAATTCCCTCTTTGTTGGCAGCTTGTATACACCCCATCTCAAGAAACCTCCACAAGCAAAGGAGATGTTCAAAAAAATCCGTGCCCGCCGCTCTTTGGGAGCCCAGATGGATACCAAGCACCAGGACACGGCAGCAGCCAAGGCACTGAGCCGCTTCATCAACTGCTGCATGACGTTCCTCCACGGTTCACTGTCCAACGTGTCTGTTTGGAGGGTACCTAAGGGTTTTGGGTATGGCAAGGGAGCCCAAGTTCAACAAACACACCCACCGTGTTACGGAATGAGTTCCAGAAACACCTGCGGTAGGCGTCTGACCAGTTTTGAGACACCGTCATAGTCAAAACTTGGCAGGTCACAAGTCTTGTAGCTCACATGCCGTGTGACAAATCTTTCAAACTTGGAACTCCTCCGTTTAGGGCAACAGTGCTCACTTCGGATCAACTGGGCGAAGATTGGTACGACATACTCAACATGTCCCTCTAAATAGTGGTTTGTAGAAAAAAAGCCTTCCAAAGAACATATTTAGAGGAACATTCCAAAACAACCATTCCAAAAACCTTCTTCTGGGGTTTGTCCAAAAGTATTCTTGAGAACCCCTGAAGAAATGCCACTTTCCTGGACCCAGAAGAACCCCTTCCACTCAAAAGTAGTCTCGTACTGAGCTCAGTAGTTTAACAAAACAATCCAGTTGATAGGAGACCCCTCTGAAATTGGAAACGGACATTGGCGTCCTTTTCAGAATGACCATACAAACAATTGGCTATGACTTTCAATAGGAAACCCAATGAGCTTCATCCTTGGGCATGGCTGAAGGGAATGCAATCTACATGTTGCCAGACCCAACTTATCTTTAGACACCCCCGCTTTGTGCGTCCACGTGCATCCTTTGGACCAATTGAAAGGGAACATTGGACACCCAATGCAGGTACTGTTGACACCTGCAGCAACAAAGCAAAACAATGTTGGTTGGGGAAACATACATGTTCCAAAAAACTGAAGAATACCCTGGGCACGTTTGAGGGGAAAGATCCAACCCAACAGCGGTGTTTCTTTTTTTTGAGCCGGTACCCCTTCGTTGGGAAGGTTTTTAAAGAATAAAAAGGACTCCGAAGCCGGTTTGGGGGGTTCCCTAACAAAACGACATATTCAGCCGAGAAAACAAATTGGACCCTCTCAAGCAGGGCTGTGGGAAATGACCACTGCTCTGATGCAACAAACAAAGGCTTCCCAAGGACTAACCCCCCCATAAGGGGGAGATTCCCAAAGGTATCACTGTGGTTGGATAAAACCCCAAGTGATCCCACAACCCTAGGCTGGAATTAGGACCCCAACCATTTTTTGTTTGTTTTTTTGCCTAGTGGAAAACAAAGGGACCCCGAAAAAGCAAAAAAGAACACAAACCGGGGAGCGAATTCTGGTTGGAAGAAGCCTCCCTCAATCGGTCCTTTGGCCCTGCAGGAAGAGGATCACCACATCGATGTCCTGACAAGCGGAGGCAAGCGCCTAGGTCCTCCAGATGTGAGAGGTTAGAGTAAGTCGGTACCATTTTTTTTCGTAGCTTATTTTAGCAGGGGAACCGAATCTCCCCCCAAAAAAGAAACGGTAAAAGGGCACTACGCACTACTGGAGGACCTAGTATATGGGTGGGCTTGTCGTTTACCAGGTTGCACCACGTCCAAACTGGCGGCACTTCGGCTTTCCTCTTGGTGTTCCGTTAAAACCACAAGCAAAAACGGTAAGTGCCCTTGAACCAAAAAAAACATCAATTTATGTCTCATGTTTGCCATCTCTTGCACGATACCCGCGTGACCCAATCACGTCTTCTCAAGGCCTTTCCAATGGAATCCCACGCACCCCAAACAAAAAGTTGCGACGTGCACGTGATGCGAATGGGACCTCAAAGCCAGTGATGGGGGCTTGCGGCTTGCGGGGCCCGGCTGATGGGGGCTGCCACCCGGTTGGGGCTGGCACATCCGTGTTATCGGCGTAGTCTCGGTGAAAGAACTCGTGCAGAAAGTCGACTAGCACCTTGCATCGAGTGAGGTACTCCGAATGTGAGATGGGTGGTGTACATATTATATTATATATATATCTCAATAATGGACATATATATATATATATACACATTTGGCGCAGGTTTCGGAGCACGACCTCAACCCCTTGAATTCAAGCACTGGAAGACTGTGCAAGTAGAAACTGTCTCAAGGTCTCAACCGTGTTGATCTCGCCTGAAGTGATGGGCTGCCAGTCACCACGATGTGCCTCGCATTGGCTCGACATGATCCCTTGTAACATATCGGGGTCCCTTCGGCCCCAAAATGACTCTGCACAATTTCCCCATTTAGTGGGGAATATCATCTTTTTAGTGGTGTCCCCCAACTGGTCATCCCACAGGGCTCCCTACATTTCCTCTTAAGACATCACCCCTACCACTTAAAACCCAGGTCAGATTAGCCAAAAAGGCGATGTTTAAAATCACCCAATACGGGCAAGAAAGTGACCCCCCCATGTAAAGGACCTTTTGATCAACCCTATGGGCGCAGCTCCTTGCACTCAGCTGCCTCTTCCAACTCACTGGTGCCTCCCTTCTGCCATCTGCCTGCCTTTGTCTGCTTGAAATTGCGTCTCGTAGGGAGGAAATTCCCGTGCTCTCCGTCGGGGAACTTTATCTTGCTGCCTGTATCTTTGGACCAATGTCTCCGAACCAGAGGGGCTGAATGATTGCACACTCTTGCTGCAATTTAGTTTCTGCGAACAAGTAGGAGTTTCTCAAAGGATGGTTGCCTTATAAAAGCCACTGACTCGAACAACAGCTGGGTCTGGCAAAGCCTTTGTTTGCAGTTAAGGGGCCATTTTGGATACCGCTTTTGAGACACAGCCTGGGAACCTCTGTTTTAAACATTCTTCACAGGGTTCTCACCCATCGGTCATGGGGCCCAGCTCCTGAACCCATTGAATACGTCTTGCGAATCCCAATATTGGGTGGCTAAACCAAAAGGAAAAACACTTGCGCCAGCTTTTTCTTGGTGTGGGGGGTCAAATCCTTAAAACAGACACACCCAAACCCTTTCCAACCCATAATATAGGCTTGCAACCAACTTTGTTTCTGGCCGCCCCCCCCCGCCCCCGCACTCAACAAGAGCCAAACACACCTGAAAAACATGGTCCAACCGGCGCAAAAAGAATCCGTTCTTCCCATACAACCCATCGCCGAAAGCCGCGATCGCGGCGCCTGTAGCCAGTCCTTCGGGGATACCGAGGTCTCGAGAGACCCCCCACCTCGTTGTTCTGCAAAACCCTGGCGCGGCAGGAATAACTTACGTGCGTAAGAAAACAACCTAGGTGTCCTTTTTGGGCAAATAGATGGGTTTCCCTGTTAAATGGGGGATAAAACCAATCTAAGCGATCACAAGGACACCTACGGACCTCGGCGCCGCACCTAAATCCCGGTGGAGCCCAGTTTCCAGCATAGGTAACCAGTTTTCGTTTTGGCTGGCAAGCCCTTGGTCTAGTATATGGGAATGGAATCACTGGGAAATACCGCGCGTAACGACTTGGATGTGTTCGCCGCCGGGTTCCACACCCAAAGTCCCACCGCATGGAATCATGGAACGCGAACATCTCTTGCTGAAAGTGAGCAACTTTTGGTAGATGTCCAGTTTTAAGCGTCCAAGGGTCTGGCTGGGAACTGCCAGAACATGCCAGGCTCACTTCAGAATAACGCGCAGCACGAGGTACACCTCAGTACCCCGCAAGGCTACTTGGTAGCAAATCGGATACCCAGATCCGGTCCTTTCCTGACTTCCTATGCGGATTGGCCAAAAAAGTCTGAACGTTTTGCTGCCACCCAAATGGTCTTCCAAAAAAGTGCAAAGTCCAGAAACTCACGGAGGGCGTTTCTCTTGCGATACAAACACC